ACTGCTCTGGTTAGTACTTCTGCTGAATAAATGTGGTGGAAGTCGGAATGCTTGTCTAGTTCCAGATCTTAGAAAGCTCCCCCCATTCAATATTAATTAGTGTCAGCTGTAGGATTACTATATGTGGCCTTCAATATGTTGCACTTTCATTCTATACCTGTTTGTTAGGAGAGCTTATTACACTCTCCTCCTCTCCTCTCCTCTCCTCTCTCCTCCCCTCCCCTCCCCTCCCCTCCTTCTCTCCGATCCCCTCCCCCTTCCTTTCTTCTTCTCTTTCTCTTGTTTTTTGAGATAGGGTCTCACTATGTAGCTATGGCTCGTCTGGAGCTCACCTATCCACCAGGCTGGCCTTGAACTTGCAGAGATTCTCCTGTCTCTACCCCCCAAGTGATGGGATTATAGGAAGGCCCCATTATGCCCAGCTCTTTCTCCTCTTTTGTTGAATCATTTGAAGATTGGCGTCAGTATTTGGACCTCCTTCCTTCTCTCGTTCTTCCAACCACCATGCTTGCCTCCTTTTTGTTTCTTGATTGTTTACTTTAGCTTTTGTGTGTAGGTTCCATGAAGTACCCTTAAAACAACTTAAAGTTGCAATACTCTGTTTTAAGATGCTAAAAAACTTAATTTTGATAGGAACCTTTCTACATATTAGCCCATTCCTTCTTCTGATATTGAAAATTTGAAATAACAATTTGAATCTCTTTGTTAAGTGCACCTTCATAAATCACCGTAGTCATTTGAACAGTTTTGTCTCTGAACTATTCATGTGAAAACTTTGTTAACACATGACTCTATGGTTCTATTCTGTTTGAATCAGAATGTGTACTTAACTTCTGTGCACCAACACATTACACTCTTTTATTCTGTGCCCTCATCTCTCCATTCGGCAAATTATTTGAGAAACTAGAGTTGCTGTCTTCACATAAATCACATAAAATGTTGGAACAATCGTTCCATTCAGTTCAGTGTTTGTTTCATTTATGATAAGTTCTGTTCTTTGTTTTATCCAAAAAGTGGAGTCACCCCCAGGCAGTGGGCCCCAACTTGTAGTGAGTTTCCTTTACTAATCTTCTTGTTATTTTGTCTCGATCCCTGCCCTCCAACCTGCACCTGAGGACAGAACCCACAGCCTGGCTAGCAAGCAACCTACCGCTGAGCCAAATCCCCCACCCCTACTAATCTTCTTATAGTTGCTGCTCAGACAGTTTTCCATTGTTTTTTTCCTATTGTTTACAAACTATTACTTTCCTATATTCACTCTCCTATATTCAGACTGTTTTCTTTTACCTTGATGATTTCCACTTTTACATGGTGTGCTAGAAAATTATTAGTATGAGACAAAGACGATACAGCCAGCTTGCACACATCACCTGGGTTTCCTCAGGGAATGACATTTCCAATAAATGAAGAACAATACCCAAGCCACATTAACATTGCATGTTACCACATGTAACAGGCCCAGTCATGGAAAGGCAGAGAGAACTCTTCCATCCTTACAATGACATCCCTACTCCTTTACGTATGACCTTTCTCTGCAATTTGGAAGAGATGAAATCAATGTTTTCTAAGACCTGTGATGTTACGGTAAGAACAATATGGAGGGCTTGGAGAGATGGCCCTGCAGGTAAAGAAGGTACATGCCACCCTTGAACTTATAAAGTGAAGAGGAGAGAACTGACTCCACAAAGTTGTCCTCTGACTCCATACACATGCCACAGCAATACATGCATATGCACACAGACACACACATTAATAATAAATTTAAAAATAACCAAGAATACTATCGAAAACATTTTTAAAATATTGTCATGAGAACAATGGAAAAGTCCCCAAAATGGGGTTAACAAAAAAGCCTTTTCCAACTGTACATTAGACAGAGAATTAACATCAACGAGAGATTAACAAGTTCTTTATAAAGAACTTTACAAACAAAACCTCTCAAATTCCCACAAATTATCCAGCCAGTAAGTGAACCAAACACACACACATGAATGCAAATGCAAATGGTCAATATTTGAAAATGGGTCCATCATCCTAAACCATCTGGGAAATGCAAATTAGAACGATTTTGATATTCCATGTCACCCCAGTGACAAGGATGTGGAGAAAGAAAAGCCTTTATTCACTGTTGATGTCAAGCATTGACTGGTACAGCCGCTATGGAAGTCAGAGTTCTGAAAAGATTAAAAATAGAACTATTAGGCTAGGGACACATTTAATGCCAGCAGCACTCAGGAGGCAGAGGCAGGCGGGATCTGTGTGATTTTTGAGGCCAGCCTGGTCTACAAAGCAAGATCCAGGACAGCCAAGGTTATGTAGAGGGACCCTGTCTAATACCCCCCCCCAAAAAAGAAGAAAAGAACCAAACATAATGTCGTATATGGATGCAAATGCTGCAGTGAAACCCATTGCTTTGTTTGCTAATTTAAAAAAATTAGTTTCAAAGACTTCATGAATAGGGAGGTAGAATAATATACTTAGTATGTTGTTCTGTGAAGTAATGTGAATATTCTGCATGTGATAGTAAATCACAGTTTGCCAGGCTGTAGTGGTTTATGGCTGTCTTCTCAGCACTTGGAAGGCAGGAGGATTAAAAGTTCCAGGCCACCCTCATCTACACTGGGAATGCAAATTTGAGGCCAGCTTTGCCTCAGACAACAACAACAGCAGCAATAGCAACAACAACAACAACAACAACCACAACAAGGAAAAGAGCTAATGGATGCTAATTTCATGGATGATTTTATTTTATGTGTGATAAATTTTGTTTATTTCCTTCATAGTTCGAATTAGTCATTATGGTGAGCTTAAGCAAACCCACTCAAAGTAGAAATACTGTACAAACAAGAACACATTAAAAATTTGTAAGAGGCATCAAAGGGTAGAGAAGAAATTTCTTGGGCACCAAAAACAAAGAAATCAAAGCTACTACAGGGAAGCCCGGGCAAGAAATGTGGCCAAAGGGGGAGTTGGGGGGGAAGGGCTGCCTGCAGGAAGCCAAGACATCTGTCCAAAAAGAAAGGGATGATTCAGCGCTCCACAGCACCACATAAAAGTGTCTTTTCCTGTCACTACCGCCCTTCTGTGCTGAATGTTAGCTCAGTCCAAGAGATGAGATGTTGTGCTACTACTGCATCTTGCCTTCCCTTCCTATCCTTTTTCTTTCCTAATGTTTAGCTAGTCATGTCTTTCGCCTGTTTTTCCTGTTAACTCTTTAAGACCATAATTACTAAGGCTTTGTTGTTTATATGCAAAGCAAGTTAGGTTTCTTCTGAATTGTTTGTGGTATATTTTATCATAAGTTTTTATTTTAAACTTATATATTTAAATGTATATTTAAGGACTTTAGTATTGGAAAAATTACTGCAGCCAGGCAAAGTGGTGCACGCAGGAGGCAGAGGCCAGTTAGACCTCTGAGCTGGGGCACTTGTATAGTGTGTTCCATTAACTTTTGCATAGAAAAAAAAATCACTCCTATATATTCTTTTCTCCCCCTTCCCCACTATCTCTTCTCTGTTCTCTCTCTCTCTCTCTCTCTCTCTCTCTCTCTCTCTCTCTCTCTCTCTCTCTCTCCTGTGCACGTGCTTCACCCCAGGCCTGGTTCTTTTGTCTCCCCTCCTCCTCCTAAAGCTCTGATACCGGTGGTGGGGGTGGGGGGTGGGGGGGTGAGAGGGGAGTAAAAAAAAAAATCGAAAGTAACAGGAGTTTGGAAAAAGTTGATTCCAGCCTTAGTGGGTGATCTTGGGAATGAGTCAAGATTTCAGTAGAGGAAGTAACCTCAGATGTAGTAAAAGTGTCAAAAGTAGAATTAAGAAAGCAGTCTAAGGCGCTGGGGATTTAGCTCAGTGGTAGAGCAGCTTGCCTAGCCAGCACGAGGCCCTGGGTTCCGACCTCAGCTCTGGGGGGAAAGAAAGAAAAGAAAGAAAGCAGTCTAAAGATGTTGCTGAATTGCTGCAATTGGAGAGATGGCTCAGCAGGTAAGAGCACCTGCAGCTCTACCAGAAGCCACAGATTTGGTGCCCCCCCTCCCCTCCCCCACCCCCCACCCCGACCACATGGCAGCTCCACTGCCTGTAACTCCTAACTCCGGTGCCAGGGGATCCGACACCTTTTTCCAGGTTCTGCAAGCATATGCTCACACGCATGCACACACATGCATGTTACACACACACACACACACACACACACACACACACACACACACACAGAAAAATAAATCTTAAAAAAGATATTACAGAATTGCTGCAATCTTATGAACAAAACTTTAATGGATGAGGAGTTTGCTTTCTTATAAGAAAAAGAACAGGCTACTTGAGATGGCTTTTCTACCCGATGACGATATTGTAAGCATTTTATATCACAAAGAATTTAAACTGTTCCATTCACTTAGTTGATGCATGTTCCATTCACTTAGTGCATGAAAGCACTGACTGCAATTACAGCTCCAACATAGCACGCTACAGAGGAAGTTTGCATGGCAGGAGGAGTCAGCTGATGTAGCAAACTATATTGCTTTATTTCAACAAACGCTCAGCTACCCCGTCACTGTGCGTCAAAGCAGGCACGGAGTCACAATGACTTTCAGGCAAAGGGTTTCCTCAACCCAATGGCACAGTATGTCTGTGGCAGTGGTTTAGGCCACCCAGGGAAAGCAACAGGCGCTGTCTTAAGGTCCTGTAGTGAGGGAGAAGTGTGCCACAAGAAAGCCTCAAGTTGGTTGACATTACCAAATTGGGTTAAGGGTCACTGTAAACTTTGTAGTTTGGCCTGGGCCAGGTGCTTGGAAAGTCTTAAGCACATCTCAGGATAAAAAAGCATCTGAAAAATTCTTCAGGGCAGCGAGCCTAGTGAGTGTATGACTTATGAAGTGTGCCAGTGCCCAGCAGCTTCTAGGCCCTGAGTGCCAGGGAAGCTGAGTGTGCCCTTGCCCGCAGCTCTCTTTGTTTAGGGCTTTGCTCCCTGGAAGGCCCATTTCTGAGATGGACACACTCCTTACTTACATGACATAGTATTTTCAGCCTTATTGTCCATGTAAAAGGAACAGAGGGACAATTTTATAGAAAAGGAGGTGGTGGCGGAGGCTAGGTGGCACTGAGATCACTCTGGCCACTTGCTGCTGACATCATTATCAGGTGGCAGTCTTTGAATCAGAGGCTGGTGTCTCAGTTCACACGTCAGGAGGACAGTGCTCACGTGTTGCATGGTGCTTTGGGTAAATCTGGATAGCAGACGGACTAGAGAAGGACCTATGGGTATAAAAACCAAAATGGTTATCAGAGTGCTGACAGCTGGTATAAGACAGTCACTCAGGGGGACTTCTGAAACCATTTGTCCCAGAATTCGGAAAACCACTTCCAGTTTTTGAAATAAGTCAGCTTTGTTGCTACAGCCTGACCCAGTCGGAATGATTTATAGAAAAGCACCACTGCTTTCCCCCAAAGAGGCAAAGTCCCCTTTTCTGTTCCTAAGTGATTTAGGCCTCTTCTGTTTTGGAGAGTGATTTTTAAAAATATTTTCTTTTTGAAATATTTATTTTATGTGAATGAGTGTTTTGCCTGCATGTACCATATGAGTGTCTGGTGCCTGCAGAGGCCAGAGGAGTGTGTTAGACCCCTAAGAACTCTCAGAAATAAGAGTTACAGGCAGTTGCGGGTGCTAGGAACTACTGTGGGACCTGAATTCTTACCCCCCCCCCAAGCTGGAAGGAACCAAACCTAGCAAGGATTTAGCAAGGAACCAAACCTAGATTCTCTGGAAGAGCAGCAAGTGCTCTTAACCTCTCAGTTAACCCTCCATTCTCAATCCTAGATTCTTGTTAGACATTGAGAACCTTCATCAAGGATTGATTGTATGTCTTCAATAAGGAATGATACACTTAGACCTCCTAGTCCTGTGCCAACATCTGCCATTACCCTATTATGATAACAAAAGGGTAAGAATCAGTTATGTGTCTTTTATCCTATATGCAGCCAGGCAAAGGAGGCAGGAAGCTTTGGTGATTGGTAGCAACAGTTAGGCTGGGGGCATGAGTTTATCAGGGTGGAGGTCCAGTTGATGGCGACTCAGATCAAGGTGGCACTAAAGAGGAAGCCTTGTTCAAATACACAGAGGGTAAGGCTAAGGGAGAGGAAATGGAGTAATGGAAAGTATCCTCATTTTGGGGGGTTTGGGATCATTTTCCCAGACTGAAAGGGAGCCAGCTAAGGTTGCCCCCATCAAGTGTTGAAGTATGACGCCATGAAGTGCACGTGGAAGCCAGAGGACCCCAACGCTCAGGAGTCAGTTCTGCCCCTGTGCCGCCTTCTCCAGCCGAGCTGACCAGCAAGCTTCTGGCTGATTCTCCTGTCTCTGCCTCCCATCTCACCATAGGAGTACCAGGATTCCAGATGTGTGCCACTGCCTGCAGTTGTTGGTTCCAGGAACCAAACTCAGGTTATCAGACTTGCAGTGCAGGTGCTTTGACCCACTGATCCATCTATCTCCCTGGCCTGGCCCTACGATCTTGAACTAGGAGCCATGAGCTGTCTGCTCCTCTGCAAACTAGACGAGGCAGACTATAGGAGGCGTCGGCTGGTTGGAGGTCCTGCATCAAACAAACAAGGTGAAGGACAAGACAGACAGAATCCCGAAAGCCTCCATTCTCCTCAGGTGTGCTTGCAGTCTCACACACACCACAGAAAACCACACAAGCTTAAAAAAAAAAAAAGCGTCCAAGACACAGACCCATGAAAATGTATAATCTGTTTTCTCTCCCTCCCTCCTCTTTCTTTCTGCCCCTGTCGCTCGACACAGGGTATCATGTAGCTCAAGGTAGTCTTTTTTTGTTTTTTGGGTTTTTTTTGTTTGTTTGTTTTTTTGAGACAGGGTTTCTCTGTGCAGTTTTGGTACCTGTCCTGGATCTTGCTCTGTAGACCAGGCTGGCCTGGACCTCACAGGGATCTGCCTGGCTCTGCCTCCTGAGTGCTGGGATTAAAGGTGTGCACCACCGACACCCGGCTCCAAGGTAGTCTTAAACTCCATGGGTCAGTGAGTATGACCTTCAACTTCTGATCCTCATGCCTCTACCTCCTGCTATGATTACAGGCAAGTGTCACCAAGCATGGTTTCAGGATTTATTTGAACAGGGATGCAATCATCATACAATTGGGAAGGGTGATCCTTTTGCAAAAGATGCTGAAACAATTGACCACATTAAAACAACAACAACAACAACAACAACAACAACCCAATACCTCACTCATTCTACAAATGTTCATTCTAGTGAATCCTAGATTCCAAGGTACAGAAGAAAAGATAACGTGTGCATTGTTTAGAAATGGCTTTGAAGGAACAATCCTAATGCTAGTTGGTACATCTGGGCTTCCCCGGAGCATCTGCAGCCATGAAACCACTTTACACACAGAGTAAAACACAGAAGTGAGTGAAGATGCCAGGACCAGTTTTCCTATTGTCAGAGAAAAGTTTAAACATCAACTACTACCTCCATCTCAAACTAGAATTAGAGATACTTCTGTGTATTCACGCTTACTTTAATATGTAACACACAGCCGTACAGTGAGATAACTAAACAGACACCAGAATTACTATATACACATATTTTCTTTTCTGGCTCACTGCTTAGACCGTCCAGAAGCAGTGCCGACTCACCAGCTAAAGGACATTCAATACTCACACTTTACCTTCTAAATCCATTTTTCAACCAAAAAGTATCCAAGTGTGAAAGCTATGTGACCCTGGTGAATGGACAAGATGGGCCCCAGGAAAAAGGGAGAAATAAATACTGAGTTCTAAATTAGGAAAGGGAGCAGGGTGCAGGGGTATGGAATAGGGCACTACCATGAGATCCAAGGACATAATTTCTAAGACTAAGACATAATACATCAAGCAGATGAGACATACTCCCTGCCAGTCACAAAGCTAAGGGATGTCATGAAACACTAAAAATTAAAGAATACTACAGGAGTAAAGACAGTTACATGGAACAAGACGTCTGAGGGACAACACAAAAACCACCTCAGGGGGACATGATTATTTAGGAAACCAGGCTATGACTCCCTGTCAAACGCCCTGTAAAGCTGGGGTATCATTCTGAGAAGAGCAAGGCACTTGCTCTGCCTTCAACTCCAGAGCAGTGGGGCACAGGCTGAGCCCTGAAAGGCACAACCCAGAAAGGCACCCTCAAGAAAACCGATTTGGAACACAATGGGGGGAAAGCAAAAGGCTAAGGATGCTCCCAGTCACAATAGAGAAGTTGGTGGTGAGTAACAAACAGGAAATTCTAAGGAGCTGAAAGCAAGGAGGAGAATAAAGAGCCAGGAGGCTAGGTTCAGCAGAGAAAACTAGTCTGACTAGTCTGACTAATCACTCAATCTGCCCCTTATGAAAGCTCCCTAAAAGCAAGTGACAGACCAAATAAGAAGAGAAAAGACTTGCAAATGGAAGCAGTCATGAGCCTCGCATAATTCAGAAGCTTACATATACCCCATTTTCCATAGAGGAGCAGAAAAGTGGGGGATGTATACAGTGTGGGGGTACTACAGTGATTTTTATGGACCTTCACTGAATTTAGAGAAACAAGGAATGGGCTAGGACTTTCTATTGAGCCTACAGACCAGTGGTTCTCAACCTGTGGGTAGCAAACCAGTTAACAAACCTCTATCTCCAAAAATATTTACAATGCAATTCACAACAGTAGCAAAATTACAGTTATGAAGTTGCAGTGAAAATAATTTTATGGTTGGGGGGTCACCACAAAATGAGGGACTGTGCTGAAGGCCTGCAGCGTTAGGAAGGTTGAGAACCACTGCTTTAGACAGACAACTGCTGGTGAATGGTTTTCTTTGGAATACTGAATGAAGCCTGAGACGAAGGCAATGATGTACAGCAAAGGGCTACTACCTGGGTCTTTCTCCCTGTGATACAAATCAGTTTAATGAAAACCTAAGGAAGAGCCTGGGATGGTAGCACATGCTTTCTTAGTTCAGGGCCAGCCTGGTCTGCAGAGTGAGTTCCAGGGCAGCCAGGGCTACACAGAGAAACCCTGTCTTGAAGGAGCAAAAGAAAACTCAAGAAAGAGGATAGAGGTAATTATTACATTCCTCAGCAGGTCTGGGCTTTATAAGGAGACCTATACTTTTCTAGTATCTTCTGCTCTCGTTTGATATAATGATCATAACAGGGCACCATATTTGGGAGTGGCCATTCTTGGGCTCCTTCATAGGCTTCAAATACTCCCTTGTCAAAAGGACATACATTTATCTGCATCACACTGTGGGAGAATTTTACCAAGAGCCGCAGGAGGGGTGGGGGAGCCAGTTCAATGAGTCAAACACTGGCTATGCAACCATGAAGACCTGAGTTCAGATCCCAAGCACGTCTGTAAAAGCTGGGCATGGTGGCACACTGCAGCACAGTGGCAGACAGGTGGGACTCCACGGGCTTGCTGGCCAGCTGGTCTACCTGAAGTGAGCAGCTCCAGGTCTAACGAGAAACTCAGTGTAGCAGTTACTTTCCTACTGTTGTGACAAAACAATACAGAAGAAGGAAATTATTTGGGCTTATGGTGCCGGAGGGTTAGTCCATGAAGGTGGAGTGGAGGCTGCAGGCATGGCAGCTGGAACAGCAGCTGGATCAAGCGTGACGCAGAGACAGAGAAGTCAAATAGCTCCAGGCCTTAAACCCACAAAGCCTGCCTTGCCAGTGCCATGCTTCCTCCAACCAGGCTGTACCTCTTCAGCCTTTCCAAACCATGCCATCAACTAGGGACCAAGTACTCAAAGGCCTGGGGCATATCTCATTCAAGCCACCACACCCTGTCTCAAAAACATAAGGGAAGGGAGGTTGGAGAGATGGTTCACCAGTAAAGCGCATTGGCTGGTCTTCCAGAGGACCCAGGTTCATTCCCAGCACCCATATGGTGTTTTATAATTGCCTGTAACACCAGTTCCAGGGGATCCAGTTCCCTCTTCTGGCTTCCACTGGGGCACCAAGCATACAGTGGTATGCAGACATGCATGCATGCAAGACACCCATGCACATAAAATAAAATTCATTTCAAAATTTCAAAAGAACAAGTGGAGAGTAATAGAGGAAGACACCCGAAGTCAACCTCTGAACTCCAAATAAGCTAACACGCACACACAATCACAAAATCACGCACACAAGTGCCTGGGATAAAAACAATAGATTCTCTTGTAATTAATACAAACTAGTGGTTAGATATGACAACAAGAGCAGAGATTAAGCTTAAGTTCAATGCTGTTCCCTCCTAAGACTGACATCGAGGATAAAGTGCAAGTAAAAAAAAACCCAAAAAAAACAAAAACCCACATTAGTTGAAGTCCTATCAAGTCACTCAGTGAAGAAAGTAGACCAGACTTTAAAAGGACAGGAAGAAACAGTACTCAAAATCCCTACAGTGAGCAGGGTGTGGGTCATCAAGCCTACAACCCTACACTCTGGAGGCTGAGCAAGAGGACTGCTATGAGTTCAAGGCAGGCCTTGGCTACTAGTGACTTCTAGGCTAGCCTGTACTACAGAGTAAGACCTTGTCTCAGAAACACCCTCCAATAACATAAATCAATGCAGCATATTACCTAAAATCTTTGGGTTTCAGCCAAAACTGCAAGATATCCAAGGAAACAGGATGGAATTTTATCTACGGAACAGGAGCCTCAGTAACAGAAAATGACTGGAGAGAACACAGCTTACCCAGGCAGCCTGGGACTGTTGATGAGGACAGGAGCTAGAAGATGTTCAAACATCTTAGGGCATGAACCTTGAAAGCAACAGCTCTGAGTTTTGTCTTTGCTCAGAAAGTGGGAAATGCCCTGGCTCTGGCTGGAGGCCAGGAATGCAAAAAGGACCACTGTCGTAAGAGAAAGAAAAAATAATTTATGGATGTCAGCAGTTAAAAGAACAGCCATCGCAACACCCCAAACAAAGTATGACCAATTAAGACAAAAGGAAGTGTCTCCTTGGAAAACATAAACTCTCAGAGTTTGGTTAAAAGAAAAAGATCAGCAGAAGCATGTTTTAGCTACTGTAGGAACCAAATCCATACCAGAAAGGCTTCCCCTGTGCACAACGAATCACCAGGCTTTAGTTTCCTTTAAACACCAGCTCTTCAGGTAGGCATGGTGGCTCTTGTTGTAACCTCAGCATCCGGGAGGGAGGCTGAGTCAGGAGGCCTGCTGCAAGCTTAGGGCCCATCCAACATGGCGACTGCCAGGCCACCTTGAGCTACAGAGTCAAACTCCGTCTTTAAAACAGAAACAAACAAACAACAAAAACATCAGCTCACCATGAGAAGCAAAAGTCGCTTCCCAACTATTGCCCTGATTCCAAATTGCCCTGATATCAAACTGCAAGCGAGTAAAGAAAACATAAAAATACAGATCAGTATCTCTTGATACAAAACCTGTACCAAAATATGAAACGAAATCAAACACTGTGTAAAAGGAACTAGAGGTTGGGAGATAGCTTCCTGGGTAAAGCGCTTTCTGGATAGGCATGGGGGTTTGAACTCAGATCCAGAGCAACCATGGCTTTTGTTGTTGTTGTTGTTTTGTTTGTTTTAAGGCAGTACAACAGTGTCTTCCTCCCCCTCCCCCCACAAGCTGAGTAGCAAACCCAGGGCCTTGAGCTTGCTAGACAAGCACTGTATCACTGAGCTAAATTCCCAACCTCTTGTTTCCTGTTTTCCTTTTTTTTTTAATTTTTATTTTTTTAAAGTGTCTATTAATCACATGGTAGCTCACAATTCACTGTAACTCCAGTTCCAGAGAATCTGACACCCTCACAAAGGATACATACAGGCAAAACACCAATGCACATAAAATAAAAATAAATTATATATAGATATGCATACACACAAAAAAACAAAACAAAAAAACCCCTCTCAGCTAAATAGGAATAGAAGATAATGCTACCACAACCAAGGGTATGCACATATAAATCGGCAATGCTTCAAGGCCGACATATTTCTCTAAAGATTGTAATTAAACGCTGGGTGGTGGCGGCACACACCCTTAATCCCAGCACTCAAGAGGCAGAGGCAGATGAATCTCTGAGTTCAAAGACAACCTGGTCGACAGAGAGAGCCAGGACAGCCAGGGCTACACAGAGAAACCATCTCAAACAAACCACAACAATAAAATAGACCTTGGGTACAGGGAGAGTGACGGCATGGAGAGGCCCCAAATTCTTTAAGACTTTTACAAAGCACATGCCCCAGTTACCTGGAACTATCAACTTGACACAGCCTACAGTACAGTCCTCTGAGGGATTGATCAGATCACATTCGCCTAAAGCAAAAGGTAGTCTCAATTCCCTGGGTGGGTGGTGCTGGCTGTAATGCTAGCTAAGCAGGGGCCGGTGGGTGAGCCAGCACACAGCATTCCTCCATAGTTTCTCCTTCAAGCCCCTGCTTGAGTTCCTGCCCTGACTTCCGTCAATGGCGGACTTACGATGCGGAAGTGCAAACGAAATAAACCCTTTCTCCCTCCATGTTGCTCTTGGTCAGGATATTATATGACAACACTAGAAAGGAGACCAGAACATAATGAAGGCAAAAGACACAGTTTAAATAGACCAACATGGGAGAGAGAGACGGCGGCTCAATGGTTAAAAGCACTTTCCGCTCTTGCAGAGGACTAGAGCTCCATTCCCGACATCGTGTCAGGCATTTTGTTCACTTTCTGTAACATCAGCTCCGGGAGCTGATGCCTCTGACCTCTGAAGGCACCTGCATGCACACACACACACAGATATGCAAACATACGCATCATTTTTGCTACTTTTATTTTGCTACTTTTATTCATTTAAAATTTCAATTTATTTGGGCTGGAGAGATGGCTCAGTGGCCAAGAGCATTGGCTCCTCTTCTGAGGATCTGGGTTCAATTCCCAGCACCCACATAGCAGCGCACAACCTTCTGTAACTCCAGTTCCGAGGATCTGGCACCCTCACACAGACATACATACTTTGGCAAAACACCAAAGCATGTGAAATAAAAATCTTTTTCAAAAAGCAAATAAAAATTAATGTATTTATTTAATTTATATATGTATGAATGTTTTTCTTACATGTATGTTTATGCATCATGTACCTGGTACCAAAGGAGGTCAGAAGATGGGTTGGATGCCCTGGAACTGGAGTTATAAGGGATTGTGAGCTGCCGTGCAAAAGTCCGACCATGCTAGAACTTCATATGTCACCAAAAAATGGAGAAATGGATGTGGGCCTGTAATCCTTCTGCTGATGCATACACAGGTTCTTCCTTGTTACTTGCCACAAAAAGAAAATAGCACAAGCATCCTCTTTAGCTATCCATACCCTTATTTATATACTGATGTTTTTCTTTTCTGAAGGATGGATCCTTAAAAGTCAGACTACTGAGTTCCAGATATTGGACCTTGGTATTCCATATACTTGGTCAAGTAATATCTGTATTTTTATTTCCCTAAATATTGCTACATTAATGCTTCCAAATGGTTGTAACAACTCATACTTTATTCAGCAATACCTAAGTAAGATAATGAAATTTCTTTAGACAAAATAAGCATCCAACAACAGAACATAAGTCCTATTATAACAGGTATTCAGATTTTCCAGACCACATATTCAGTATTATATACTCAGGTCCTCATTTAGGGTACATATGAAAGGCATAGAAAAAAAAAAAGCCTAATATACCATATTATATGTATGTTACAAACAAGTTAGTTTTATCAAAGTACTAAGTTTTGATAAGAAAGAGCTGAGGCTCAAGAAGTTAAGCTGTTCTTGGAGGCCTCCGGGAGCTGGAGTAAACACTCCATTTTGGAGACTCGCGGTATCTGTAAAACCCCAATCAGACAAAGGAAAACGAAAGGAAACCTCTACACCGGGTCTTTCCTAGGAATCAGCCTCACCGGCTTCACGGATTCCTCAGTGGAGGTCGGGTGATGCAGGGACTGATCATTTATCATGTACTGTGAAGTAGGGGAGAAATAGGGAATGCAAGCCGGCTACTCCGCCCGCTCGGCAGAACATGTGGTCCGCAGCCCGGGCCACCTCTCTGACGGGAGCGAGGCCCGGCACTCACCCTGACACATTAACTGGCCAGCTTCTCCACTCTGCTTAGAGTCATCCTCTAGCTGCTTTGCTAATCCCGGGAAGTAAGCAAATGTCCCGCCGCCGCCGCCATTTTATAAGTTATACAAGCCTGGGTCTCTGGCACTGAGAAGGGAGGGGGGGGGGGGACAGGAAAAGGGGGCATGACACAGATGAGCATGCGTCTCAGCCAAATAGTCCCTGTGCCGCTCCCGAAATGGCTCCGCGAGTTACGTGACCCGGATGGTCAGCAGCAGCTTCCGCAGATGACTGGCCACTTGCGGTTCATCTCACGGCGTCCTGTGTTTGCTCCTTTCATATGTTCCCACTCTTCTTGTCCTTCTTTCCTTTGTTTTCCTTTTCTCCTCCGGAATTTCTTTTCTTTTCTGCTTCTGTAGAAGATCGGCTTGTGTCTTATCCTGAGACCTGCATCAGAGCAACTTCTGTAGTTTTAGCCGTCAGCATTGCTATAGTGGCTGTAATTGCTGTGGCTATCCACATGTTACAGGTTAGTTGGAGAAGTAAATTATAGGCTTAAAACCCCCGTTTTAAAAAGAAGACTCTCATTTTACCTATTGTACCAAGAGGCACAGGGGCAGGAGACCACAGGCTCCGTGGTTAAGGGTGCAAAATGCTCTAGCAAAAGTTGAAGTTCAGTTGCTAGCACCCATGAGGGTAAGCCCACCTCCCTCACAGCTGAACTCACATGCACATACAGCTATACAGGCAAACATACATACATGAACATGACTGAGCACAATAAAGGCACCTGCCTCAAAGCCTGATGACCTGAGTTCAGTCGACCTCACAGGATCAGCATTATTCAAGCAAAGAACTGTCCATCTGATCTGCATACATGTCCTGTGTGATACGCGAGTGCATGCACGCACATAGACACACACAAAATAATATATATTCATACTTCTTTTTTTTCTTCTCTCTCTGTTTTTTCTGAGACAAGGTTTCTCTGTGTAGCTTTGGTGCCTGTCCTGGATCTCGCTCTGTACACCAGGCTGACCTCAAACTCAGAGATCCACCTGGGTCTGCCTCCCGAGTACTGGGATTAAAGGCGTGCGCCACCACTGCCCGGCAAACAAACATTTTTTAAAAAGACAGACAGAAAGACAGATAGACAGAAAGAGGAAAGATGTATGGATGGATGGAAGGAAGGAAGGAAGGAAGGAAGGAAGGAAGGAAGGAAG